GAAAGAGTGAAGACTCAGCAGCTCTTAATTCCCAGGTAAACCAACTACACAACACTCTGAATAATACAGGCCTTGTCTTTGTACATTGATTTTGATGTATTGTTTTGATGACTAAAGTAATAACCTTCAATTTTCAAAGGTAACCTAGCTTAGCTGTGCTTGCATCACTTAATTTGGGTTTACCTTCTGAAACTGCTCTGACACAGTGCTACAGCTTTACCCTTGTTCATTCCAAGCATAGTAGGCTTGAAAATACATGATTGCCTGTTGGGACCAAGTAGGGTACTATTGGTACAGTATGTGCTGTGTTACTTGTGTTATTAGCTATATAAAAGCTCAAGTTACTGAGTCTAGAGGAATAGAGTAGGCAATCTTGAGTCCTCGGTTCTGACATTTCTTGAAAGTAGAAGGGCCATTATATTTCGGAAAAAGTGAACCTCTGGATCTGAGAGGATAAATTGACTTTCTGAATAACATCTAGCCTGCTGCAAGTGCAGTGTTTTCGAGTATCCAGAAAGATTGTTATAAATGAAGACAGGTTTCTGATTCTTTCTTTGTCTTTTCTGTAGTGTATCCCAGCCTTGAGGCAAAATGCGCATCTCCTACTGGCATTTGTTGCCAAGGAGGGATTTCACGCTAAGTTGCAACAAATTTATTTTGTATAGCTGATTTTGGCAAATGTAATCACGGAATTTTCACGTAAGATTACATTTAGGAGTTACACTCCTGTTTTAAGAGACAGGATAACACATCTAGTCTCAGACCTCCTATTGCAAAGTAGCATACAGTCATCCAAATCTGTTTGTTGTGATACATCAAAAAGCAATTATGATACTTGTTCTGATATCACATAATGATTAAACGAACTTGATTTTTGCAAGCTTATTTTCATCTTGTGTATGCTTTAAAGTTTTCATTGATCACTGCTACGTAACAATGGACTAGAAATTTATTTTAAGTGCCTTGGACAAATACAAAATACAAAGTGTATTTGCAGCTCTGCAGGGGCTTCATGGTGATCAAAAACGTCATTGCAGTTTAAAATACTTTCTGTTTTCATCCCAATTAGACAACAAAGATGAGTGAGAAATGTTTTGTTCCTTTAAAAAATTGTTTTACAGTTCAAAAGATTTAAGGAGTGACAGAATAGCAAAGTTAAAGCACATTTGAAGTAAACTATTTGAAAATAGTTTCTTTTTTTACCTACCTCCCAACACCAAGCCTGAGCTGTCAGTGTTCTTCTTCAGAACTTGAAGAGCTCTAAACCAGAGTAAATAAATATCAGTCATGTCATTACCGTGCTGTCAGGGTCATCACTGTGCTGGAGAAGCTCAGATTTTGCTGGTCTCTTATGCTGTCATTGTATTTGTAAAGTGTTGAACTGTGCCGAGTAAGCAGACTTTAGTGGGAAGTCAGAGCTTTCATCATCTCCCAAGAAACGTTAAGCACTCTGCAATTAATAGGCCTCTGTCCTAGTTGAAACAATTACGGTGTTACCTGAAAAAGGAATTCATTTTCTCCTGTCAATGGCAGATGTTAAGTTTGTACACTTTCTGTTCTTAGGTTCATTGTGGCTCTTAGAAATTAACTTTCTTGACTTACGGTTTTCTTTTTATTTTTGCAAGATGCTTATTTACATTCTCAAGAACAAGATTATATTGAAAGTTAGAATTCTCTTGGCATTAAAGTCAATGACAAACATTCAGACGCCAATTCCTCCCACGTTGCACTGCATTGTTTAATTTCGCTCTCTAGAGGTGTATAGGTCTTGTTCTTCTTCTAGACAGACATTTCACACCTTTATCCCCCACAAACATACTGTCATCCTACACTTTCAGAATGGCAGATTCTTAAGCTTGTGTAGTGCTGTTTCCTAAAATAAAGATTCCAAGATGTCTGGTGAAATCTTGGCATAAGTTTTTAGCAGATGTTGCCATTGCTCTTGGAATACTTTGTGAAGACATGTATTTGAGGAGAGCTAACTGGATAATTAAGAGACTATTTTTTTGCTTTTCTTGAGATTCTCTTCATGTAACCTGCAGTCCTAAGGGGGGGGGTTGTATGTTTTCGAGGAACAAAATTTAACATTGCTTTTCTGCGTGGATGAACTAAAGCAACTTGCATTTTAAGTATTCTTGAGTGACTCAGAGGTACAGTATGAAAATCTTTATGGGTGCAAAAATACTTTGTTTGCTTGATAGTTTTGAAGAAACTGTAAAGCACACATCTGTACATATGAGTCAACAAAAACCTATATCTAGGCTGTTAGTCTTATCATCTGATACTGGTTTTTTTCCCCCCCTGTGTTTTGACTCACTATATATATGTGTGTGTATAGAGAGAAATTTTTTTTTGTTTTATTTGCAGTCAGAAAAGGTGATGGCAAAACAGATGGAGTTTCTTTGCAACCAGGCTGCATTAGAGAGACGTCTTTCCACAGGGTGTTACAGACAAAACTTTTTGAAGAGCACAGCCCCAATGGCATGTCACTAGATAATGCTGATGGACAAGGTATGGTAGCTTCCAGGCATGGCATTGCTGCCAGCAAATTCGTTTGATATTACGCAACCTTTGTCAGTGGTGTTATTTATCTAGTATAGAACACTGAGCACTGAATGGACAAGACAAGATCTCTGCCCTGAAGTGCTTACAGTCTAAATAATGCAATCAGATGTACAGTCAGATTCTGCTCTGTTACTCTAATGTATCTGGGCAAACTGCTTTCCCTATGGATAATGTGGGGAGGGAGGAAGATGGGATGTGCTACCTAATCTAGTTGAAGTCCCTGCTCATTGCAGGGGGTTTGGACTAGATGACTTTTAAAGGTCCCATCCAACCCAAAGATTCTGTGATTATTGAGGGCAGAACTTGGCTCTAACTTTATCCTAAGTTTTGAAAACGGAGCAGAATGTTGCGTTTCATCTGTGTGCTTTCTTTTTTGGAAATTGAAACTAAAGCAGATGATGTCGTTGGTACCCCTTTTTGTTTACCATTTTGTGCAGTCTAGGAACAAAACCTGAAGAGCTGGCTATGTAAATTAGTCAGAACTAAGCAGATTCTAATGATGTTCTTAGTAGCTTGTTATTCTTCAAAAAGCTTACAGTTTTGTGGTTATCTCTTTGATTTACCGACTGGCTATTCCTTAGCTTGAATTAATTTTAGGAGTGTTTGTTTTGTTCGAGCTCTTTCTGTTTGGATTTCTTTTTTTACTGTTGTGAAATGAGACGAAATGTTACAAACACAAGAAATACAACTAGAAGTTATTGTATCTGTGTGTTTTTAAGAGCCAGTTTGTTTAAGTGGGAGAAGAGAAGCGGTAGAGGGACAAACTAAGGGAATCGATATAAGCAAGCATTAAAACATAGGTTTTCGTTTGTGTGTATTGGTAAAGCAATGCGGTACATGAGTATGCAGGGAGAATTAGGTGTGGATCCAGCTCTTCTTGATAGTGCAAGCTTCTTTATATTATTTGTCTATTGTGCAGTGAGAACAGGAATTTTTAGGCGCTCAAAGGGGTTTTTGAGCAGAATGAGAGGGGTTTTTTAATTTTTTTTTTTGTCTGGCTGAATGTCCCTTTCTAGCGGTGCCTGTGGAACAGTCTGCAAAGCACCATATTTATATAAGCCTTGTTTTGCTAGAAATCTTTCCTGAGCAGCTGGAATTTAGGATGCACTTTTGCTGATAGAATTAGTATATCTTTAAGTCTCTACCTGTTCTTTAATATTGCTTTGCTTTTAATGCATCAATGTTTCACTGTGAACAACTCCAGGTGAAAGACCGCTGAATCTCCGAATGTCAAATCTGCCAAGTAGACAGTTGCAGCACATTTCACTGGATGGAGAGCAGCATGTTGGAAAACCTCTGTGCAGTGATTTGATCCGGCTTTACCCCAGTGGTGAGGCAAAGTCCCAGTCCTCAGGTTAGTGCTGTCCCTTGTATATTACCCACAATTTCTTACAAAGCCTGTGATGAACTTACTAATACATGATGTCTCTGAGTGAAGAAGCTAGTAGCTCAGCCTGGCATGCTTTGCATGTAACCTTTTAATAAAGGCTTTGGACAATACTTCAAGAGGAGTGTTACTTGCTAATCTAGAATCAGATTGAGTATTATTTGGGAAAAGCTTAGAGGATGCAGTAACTAGTTCAGGTAAGCAGGTTCTGACACGTGTCTGTCCTCAGAGAGCAGTATTGACCCAAACTGCTGCTGTTAAATACTTACGTTGCTGTCATTGTAACGCAGTTGGATAATAACATGGCTTCACTCTGTATAAAGGAATCAGACTTTTTTATAAAAAGATGTTTTATTCTGGTTTATAAGGAGCTAGCACTGTTTCCATACTGTGAACCAAATCATGCAGTAAGTCTTCTGAACTGGGTTTCCGTTTCACTGACTTCTGCTCACTGGCAATCTTGTCATTGGGAGAAACTCATGCTAAGTTTTGATAGAAGAGAGCAAGAATCCTTTGTGAAATCTGTATGGGTGGTTTCAGTTGAATACTCGGCACACTGAGATAAAGCCAGGGAGATTCTTGAGACTCTCGCAACTTTAAGAATGATAATAAAATCCCACCTGAGTTTGGAAGATGCAATGGGAAAGAGGTTATTTGAAAGACAAGATGCAAAAGTAGTTGTTTTGAAGACTGGGTAGAATCCTCCATCTTCCACTTTGGTATGCCATCTTAGCTCACCTTTTTTCCAGTCTGTCCCAATCCCAGTAGTAATTCACGTAGAAAAATTTCTAGTCGGGGATTTTTACCACTCAAAATGCAAGTGAAGAGTGCGTCTCCACTAAGCTCTGCTCCCAGAGAGAATGGAAGTAAATCTGTGGTGATTACTCTGTCATCACTGCAATGTAGCTGAGGTGGTTCTAACCCAGATGGGTTAAAGCCCAGCAGGAGGAGGCAGAATTTATTGCTTCCACTGTTAGTATCCATGTGGTTCATGGACCTTTTTCTTGAATTAAGAACAGAATGTATTTGTTTCCTAGCAGTGTTTTTAACATCTTTTTTTCTTTCTTTCTTTTCCTTCATGCAGAAGGCCTTGGTATTTTAAAGGATTTTCCTCATTCGGCTTTTAACAACATAGAAAGGAAGGTCATAAAAACAGAACCTGAAGATACAAGATAGTCATTCTGCTCTGGAAAATGGTGTCATAGTAAAGAATGAAACTTCACAAGAGAAAAAAAAAAACAGCCTTAAAAACCAGTGTTGCCTCATTCAAATAAGAGATTTCAATAGCCAAAGCCTAAGAACTGGTACAGTAATCTGTGGAAACAGGAAAGCAAGAGACACTGCAAATTAAAACAGTAATACAGGCGGATAAACATTCCTGTAAAAGTGGTTTTATAACGTGGGAAGATTCACAAATTAATATTGTGGGTCTTCATTATTTAAGAATGTATTATGTATTTGTATAACTTATCAAAGTAAATCTAGATGTCGGGACGTGTATTGAGTCCAGTAGATGTGGCTACAGTTCATTTTACTTGAAATTTCAATGTCTACTTTAAGTGTACCTAGCGTAGATATGGTTGTTAAACATTTGAATTAAAAATCCTTGGAGAATTAGGAATGCGAACCTCGTGACACAATTAACAGCAAGTTTGCAACAATATTTGTAGAAAAAGGAAAATGCGTAAAATATTTCATGGTTTAAAATGTTACGTGGATATAGCATTTGGTAGACCTAGACCCTGCGTCTGTATTATAGCAGATGTACTTGACACTTAACTATTGTTACATCACTTTCAATGGTTTCAGCAGCCTTTGCGTAACACACTTACAGCATAATACCTACCTACAGTTCAGGAGCGTAGAAAATGCCAGTTAGAGTGTGGAAGAGTCCATATGGTCCGTTCCCATTTTGTTGGGAAAAAACGATGGCTTGATATACTGTACAATTACTAAAATCTCATTTGATAGGAAACCCAAGAGACCAAGTAGCATGGACAGGGCTGCAAAAATTGTGATTCAGACCATTATAACTTTTTGGACTTCTCTGTGGATCTTTTAAAAAAAAAAAAAAAAAAAAAAAAAGGCATCCTAGGTGTGGCAAAGATGAAATATGATGCAGGATTTATGCATCAGTGTAACAGGTTGCACTTGATATCCAGAAACCATAAGATCTTTTGGAGGAGAGAGACAAGGAGTTATGTCTTTAGCATGTAACTCCTTATTAAGTGCTGTCCAGCCCACATGATTCTATGAATATACCGTATACTGCATACAGTATGCCAATACGTTTCTTTATATATGTGATTAATGAACATCTGTATTCTTTATTTATTTGACAGTTTTTATTTTTTGTACATTTTCACTTTTGCAGACGTCATTTTATCTAAGGAGAAATAGTCAGCATATAACTTTGGAATTTACCCTGCTGTGTTTGTGTGCATCCATTTTTCCTCTGCGCAACTCCCTCAATACGAGTTGCTTTCCTGCAGTCAAAATAGTTATATGCCTCAGTTTCTGAATACAGTTTTTGCCTAAAACGTGTTCTGGAGGGGAAAGGGAGGGCTGAAGAAAGTAAGTTACTATGCCAGTGGGTAAACTTTCATATTCAGGTGTGCACTTCATGTCTGCAGTTTGCTCTGTGTCATAGATGTGTATTAACGATTCAGTCACAGTCTGTGTTGTACTGAAACGGTCAGCAAAATGTGAGCTGAAATGTCTACACTGCAGTCTCTTATCACTGTAAACATATCTATTTTATCACTTTTGATTTGTGGAACAAAGCTTTATAGTAGAAACACCAGTAAACAACTTTTTATACTATTAAAATGTTTGTTTTTTTAAAAAAATGTTTCTTGAACTGTATGGTACTGTTTCACTTACTGAAGTATCTTACTTTAAGCAATGGAGTTCGCAGCTTTGCTGTTAGAAATAAGAGATTGAATGTGTAGTTATATTTCCTCTTTCCTGTTGTGTGAGCTAGTACTACGGATAAGGTATTTCTTCAGTTTGTAACGTTAGCCAGTGCCCTGGTTAGTATCTGAGTAGCTTTCATGAGATGTGTATGGAGCTTGTTAAAGGACAGCTTAAGGTTTGAACTGTATGGCTTGAGTGGTAGAAGGTACCAAGCAACAAGACTTTAGAGATGTAGGAAGTGTTCTGGTTTTTCAACAACTGCCATCATCAAAAGTTGTGTGTGGATCACAGAAGCTCTTGAGCTTGCTGGTCTCTTCGATTAAAGTGAGAGGAAGGAAAAAGAACTTGCTAAGCAGCACACTGTTTCAGTTGAGTCCAGAATTTATTTTGTAAACACTAATGTATTAAATTTGCTATAAATTAAAGTATATAACAGTTATATTTTTGAGTTGTAAATACAGTACTTTGTGTCACAACCAGTTGGTTATCTCTCGAATGATATTTCAGTTTATAGTCCAACAGGCCATTTCAGTCTCAATAAGCTGGAAGCAATTTTTTTTACTGGTTTGCAGCTGTATGATTTTTGTTTTTTTTTTTAACCTGGGGGGGAGGTGGGAGGTACATTCCACGATTGCACATACATTTGATAATAGCAAATATTCAAGCATAGGTCTGTCCATGACAAAGGTCTTGGTGGACTGCAACTTGGCTAGCCTCTGGAGTCGCAGGTGAAGGCTTGCCCTCGTCTGCCCTTGAAGGGTTGCTAGATTCAGGGTGCTCTGGATCAAAGGCCAGCCCTGCAAATTATGCCTGTTCTTATTCACATGTTTATATTGTTGCTTACAAAATAAAATTCACCGTGAGAACTCTTTAGTTTCCCCAGGGTTTTTCCTTTGTGTGTGTGTGTGTGTGTGTGTGTGCGCATTCTAAAAGGAGACGTTAATTTGCTGGGGGTAGGGGAGGAGGGAGTAGCGTGAACTGCAGCTCTGGCTGGAGGAAACCTTTTCCTGCTCTTGTGGTTGAATTCTCATCTATGGGTGGCTTCGTTATGTGCACAGCCTGCGGGGCTTCGGCGGGCCAGGCGAGGAGGGAGGAACTAAAGCCCGGGAAGGGGTTGCAGCATGGCAGTCTCTTTTCATGCCCTTTCCACCTCCTGTGCTCTTGCCTTTGTGTGTGCTTACGTTTGCACAAGAACGGCGGGCAAAGCGGATCCGCTAGGAGGTGATCCCAGGTGGCCTAAGGGGACTTTGGGAATCCAGGAGACAGAGCCTTGCTGCCCAGCCCTGGGGCTACCCTCAGCGCAGGGGTCTTGGTGATCCACCGTGTTTCAACCAGCTTTCTAAATGGCGGTCCCCATCTCGGTGGTCGAGTGTTGAAGTGGTGGTGGAGGACAGAAGCTGCATGGGAGGTGGAGTATAAAAAGGGAAGATAAACACACCAGGGAGCAAAAATGCTAAAGAGAAACAGGGGCAACCCCCACCAAAAACCTTCAAAAACATCCAGGTTGCCGAGATGGCACAGAAGGCAGGTGGGCTTCGCAGCAGGGGCAAGAATCCCCTCAGCCCCATGCGAGCAGAGCAGGGTGCAGCCCCCTGCCCTCTCCCCGCCCAGAGGAGGCGAAATGTGCGAAATGGGAACCCACGGCTTAATGGTTGCTGGTTTTTGTCTGCGCTTCCAGTGTGATCTCGCCCTGTTCTGGGAGAGGGAGGAGGAGGAAGGAAGGAGCTAGGCACTGCTGTCTTGAAGGTGCCATGAGTGAGTTAGTGATCTTCCAGCCTGCACACAAGTATAGTTGGAAAACATTGAGATTTTTTTTTTCTTTTAACTTGATCTGGGCCGAGCAGTGACGGGCTGAAGTTCAATAAAAGCGCAGTGATGCCGGGGAGGTGCAGTCCCGCCAGGGCCCACAGGCTGGTGTCAGGGCCACCGCGTTCAGCGCCTCGTCGAGGTGCTGGGAAGCTCAGCGCTGCGAGGTCCTCAGCTGGAAAGCACTGTTGGGTTAAACAACCGTTACAGAAGGGTCATTAACGTTAATTTGAAATTTCAGCAGGCCTGTTTCTCACACAGCCAAAAAGCCTCTGTCATTTAAGATTTTTTCTGCCGGCTACCTGCCTAAAGCTCCTCCATCTTTTTCTAAAGCAGCAATTTGTGTGAGGGTCATCAGGGAAAGCAGCTGCTCGTGGCTGTGCCTTTGCTCGTGGCGATGGCTTCGCCCGTGACAACAGCTGCAGAGCTCATTTCCTCCACACGTTCTATTCGAAGTAACAGAGAACTCGTACGCGAACACCAGGTTCGGACGCGGTGACAAAACGTCTTCCAGCAGCCCCTAGTTAAAGCACAAGCGCTCGTTACTGCAGTAACTGGGGTTGGTAACACTTTGGCTTGGATCTGGGCTCGGGTGGGGAGAGCGCCCGTGCTCGGGCACCCCGCTCTGCTCCGTCCCTTGAGCGCGGAGCGGTTCTCCAGCTGGAGAAGCAGCAGTGTCCCTCGCACCTTC